TTTGTTGCACACAAGGTCAACGTGAGTCCAGACCACCTCCACAACAAGCAACCGTAACCACGACAGGTGGTATCATGGTGACTTCATACAACTTAAATCCACTAGCCCAGCCTGCGTGACATGCCCTGCCCCAGCTGAGGAACGTTCCCTTCCAAGACCAACGAGGAAAGGAAGACCCCACAGCATTTGGAGGCATGGCATTATGATTGGAATGGCCCAGGATGTCCCTAGGGATCTAGTCGCCTTCTCAACTGCCACACATTGAAGGCTCAGTCCATTTGCATTTGCAAATGACATTGGTTTTTGCTTTCTAACATGGAGGAGAATGGAGAAGACTTCTGTAGTCTTTTGCAAAAGTAGGTCATAAGACCTTCCCCCTTCTAAAGTGGTCTGGGGCTTGGGGAAAATAAGATAACATGTATGAAAGCCCCTTTCAGATCCTGAAATGCCTGAAGAGGAAGAAGAAGACATAGATGGATACATGGGAGGTACAGACAACAAAGATGAACCCTTTGGCATGTACAGTACTGTGTTGTCAGTGATGGTAAGCATTGCTCTATGGGTGGAGACACGGGTGGACAGACTGAACAACTCTAATATGTCTAGGCAGGGTGGAGTGTGCCCATGACTACGTATAGGATTAGCAGATGATATTTCTGCAAGAATATTTGTACGTGCTGTAAGAATGTCTGGGTGTCCAGTAGACTGACAAGGGACAAGGTTGTGGTGACCACAGACAGCTACCCTGAGGGAGCGAGTAGTTGAACCTGTGGGTCAGGACCATGGTCACAAGGGACATCAAGTTCAACTGGCATAACATACTCCACAAAAACATTGTTCTACATCCTACTTTGGTGTGTTGTGACAGGGGTCTTAAAAGCTTGAAAGCAGTCATCTAAATGCAACGATAGGTCTCTCCTTGTCCGGAGCAAAGAAGAATGAAGAAAACCAAAGACACATAGAAACAATTAGTCCACCATGCAATCCTCAGCCTATATGACTATGGGATCAGAAGAACTAGATGGTGCCCGGCTACCACTATCAACCACTTGGAGGTGGATTGGTGCAAAAGATCCTGGATAGAGTGAGAGAACAATGTGGAATAAAACTCAAAATCGTAAAATAAGACCAGGTTTTCTGGTCTGATAGAGCCTGGTGAGACCTCTAAGACTATGACCCCTAGTCACCCTTCAGGTCTAGAGTTGGACTCCCTCTTGTGGCTTCCAGCCAAACAATAGACAGGCATATGGGGTGAACGTTGACATCAGGTAGATATACTCGTTGGAGCGATCAATCATAAGAGAACAGAAGGTCAGTGTTTGCACAGGGAGACAGCTTGGAGGGTGGGAGTTCATGGGAAGGAAGGACAAAGGGAAGAGGTAACTATGGGGAGGAAGTAGGAAGAGAGCTGTTCCATTGTGGAGAATGACAGTCAATGTCATGAAACAAAATGTGTGTGAACTGCTTTCTGGAAAATGAATTTGCTCTGTCAACTTTCACCTAAATTACAATAAAAATTAAAATAATAATAAAAACCACCTTTTCCAGGCAAGTTCTCTCTGTAGAGAGATTTTTCTACCTGCACTGCTAACCAAAATGTTGGGGGGTTCGAGTACAGCAAGAGATGCTTCACATGAAAGTCTGGGTGATCTACTCCCCAAAAACCAGGTGCTGACAAGCCGGTGGGCCACACTTCCACTCTGACCTGTGTGGGGTCCTCAGGAGACAGAGTTAGATCAATGGCAGCTGGTTATCGGTTTTAAACATTGGGTTTTTTTTTTTTTTTTTTGACCATGCCCCTTCATCCCTTACACCTTGGCCCAGGCCACCAGCATCCCTTATCTTGTTCATTGTCCTTACCTTCTGTCTAGTTTCCTTTTTCCACATTTCCGTCTCAGATCTTTGTAAAACTCAGCAAGTAAGAGCTCCTACCAGCTCTACCATGGCAGACATGGCCTTCTCTCAACTGGGTTTAATAGTGTCTCCTTAAAATTCACAGCCACTTGGAACCTCAGAATGGGACCTCATTTAAGAAATAGGGTCTTGTCAGATGTAATTAGGTTAAGAAGAGGTTATACTGGATTAGGGCGGACCTGAAATCCAAGGGACACTCTCTCGAGTGTGCACCCAGCTGGTAGCTTCCTGCTCACAGTTGTTCCCCATTGTATCTGGAATTAACACCATTTCTGTCTCAGCTCCAAAGCCCTGAGGAACTTTAATTCCCATGCCTGACTCCCCCTGTGCATGCACCCTTGGCGTCTCGGTGCATGAAGTCTTGTTGCAGTCAAGACTCTCCCACTCACCCTCCCCTTCAGGGACAGTCCCTCAAAGACATCTATCTCTGTTAGACTCTGCATGAAGTTGTCTCCCTCAGCCACTCCCTGAAAACATATCTCCTCAACCACTCCATGAAGACATCTCTCTCAGCCACTCCATGAAGACATGTCTCTTCAGCCCCTCCATGAAGAAACCTCTCCCTCAGTCACTCCATGAAGACTGTCACCCTGAGCCACACCATGGAGACAAGTCTGCCTCAGACACTCCATGAAGACATGTCTCCCTCAATCACTCCATGGAGAAACATATCCTTCAGCCCCTCCACAAAGACACGTCTCCTCATCCACTCCATGAAAGCATCTCCTCAGCTACTCCTTGAAGACGTGTCTTTCAGCTGCTCCATGAAGACATGTCGCCCTTGCCCTTCCATAAAGACATGGGTCTTTCAGCCACTCGATGAAAACACAACCCTTTCAGCCACTCCATGAAGAAACATCTCCCTCAGCCACTCCATGAAGATGTCTCCCTCTGTTACTCTATGAGGACACATCTCCCTCAGACACTCTGTGAAGGTATGTCTCCCTCATCCCCTCCATGGACACACATCTCCTCAACCCCTCCACGAAGACATGTCTCCTCAGCCCCTCTATGAAGACATGTCTCCTCAGCCCCTCCATGAAGACACGTCTCCCTCAGACACTCCATGAAGACACGTCTCCCTCAGACACTCCATGAAGGCATGTCTCCCTCAGACACTCCATGAAGACATGTCTCCCTCAGACACTCCATGAAGACACGTCTCCTCAGACACTCCATGAAGACATGTCTCCCTCAGACACTCCATGAAGGCACATCTCCCTCAGACACTCCATGAAGGCACATCTCCCTCAGACACTCCATGAAGACAGGTCTCCCTCAGCCCCTCCATGAAGGCACGTCTCCCTCAGACACTCCATGAAGGCACGTCTCCCTCAGACACTCCATGAAGACA